CATACAATCTACGAACTATTGTGGCTTCTCCGTAGAAGATTACTTCTATTTTTCATCACAAAAAAGGGCAAGTTTATCCTTTTCTTGAAGTAAAAATACTCAACCTTATTCCAGGTAGAAATCTTCGCCATTCTCCAATGTACGAAAATCAACAGAGGAGCTTACTCAGGGAAACTCAACAATGTATATTCAGATAGGCAGGCGGCATATACGGCACTCGTGAGCCCAAAACTATCATCGAGATTCTTCTGTGAAGGCTTGAATAAACTTGAGATTCTGAAAAAAATCCGACCGTCCACTGAAGAAATAGACAGGGGCACAGGCATAGCAAAACCAAGTGCTGGTCACAGTAGGTCCCTTAACCGGATAAATGGCTGCTTAGTGTCAAGCCCAACATGTATATAAGCCTGAACAAGCCCAACATGTATCAAGGAAGTCTTTGCTGCGGAGTCTTTGATAAAAATGTTGAAACAGCAGAACACATAATATGTCACTGCAATGCTCTGGATGGCAACGACACTTTCTGTTTGGTAAAACAAGACTAGAAGCGGAGGAACTATACCCCCATCCTATCACACAACTTAAATTATACTCAGCACAACATAAACAAGGGGTAGTTTAGTCAAAGGATGTCACAAATTTAACGGCAATCCATTATAGGAATAATGATTGATAAGATTTCCTCTTGGTCAAAGCTGTAGCGAATCTCCTAACAGGGCATTGCTAGCTCAATAAGCATTTAAAAGTGATGGGATTGGCAAACGAAGCCAGTTGCAGATTTTATCAATCAGAAGAAGAAACGGAAAAACACATTCCATTTCTTTTTGTTATTACCCATTGACAAAAAGGTATATGAAGAGTTATTAGAAATTTTGAAAAGGACACGAAAGGAGATTGTAAACTAGAGATGAGAAAAGGAATAAATTTAGGTTAGGTCAATAGCCACATCAAAAAATGTAATTTCCTGGTTTCATTTTTTTATGTTTTCAAATAAATCTATACCTACCATATTTTATTAAGTACTCGTGTCTTAATAAAGAGATCCTCATATATCAAAATGAAACTGTCAAATGTAACATGTTTTTTCACTAGACCATCACTAGATAGATTATATTTGTAAGGAACATGTTAAAAAACTTATCCAGCAGCAAAATAAAACTTTTAGAAATTGGAGAAACTACCTACATATTGTTATTAAAAACAGGCTAAAACAGCCATACCTATCATGAATCGTTGAAATGTAAGTCCGCCTTCACAGACAAGGAAGCAACATTTGATGCTTCAATTACAGCAGAAACTAAGACTATTAAGCAAATCCATTATAGCTTCCCCTCCTATGCACATATATCAACCCTCGAACAAATTAAGCTCACCCCATGGTCCGCCCCCCTCGCCAGTATAGAGTCTACAAAAATGTCACCCCTTTCCATTTGTCCCTTTAAACTGAGGCATCTGAGGGAGAGTCACGACTGATAACAGAAACCGCTTAATTATTGATTTTGTGTAAATATGAGGGTAGGTTGGATGCTGAGGGAATGTAGATAAATGGCTATAGTATGAAAATGAAATTGCTTTAGTGTGCTGTGAATGAAAATGGTCTCCACACAATCCAATTTATCGTACATCATTTTTGCACTGCAAATTTTCAACTATGTATCTATTCAACTTATACGATTTTTATTTCCTCGCTTGTATTTTTTTTCTGTCCTGTCACAGCCTATTGAAGTTAAGACCATTTGCATGAAAATATGTGTACTTACCTATAACGGTGATCTCTTGAAACAAGAGGGGTGAACAGTACGATAATTCGCTGGTTTTGAGAAATGCTCTCAACACGAACAGCAGAGGCTGAGATAGGTACCAAAACTGTAGTTGTTAAAACAACGTAAGGAGGTGGAGTGACCTCCCCCCTACTGTGGAGTTGGTAGTGGATGAACTACTGGAAGAATTAACTCTAGCGGGAATACACTGCATAGGGTATGCAGATGACATAGTCATCATTGCACGGGGGAAACATGAAGGCACCCTGTGAGATATTATCCAAAGAGGACTCCGCATCGCTAAGAGATGGTGCAGAACTGTCGGGCTGATTATTAACTCAGATAAAACCGCAGTAGTGCCATTCACCAGAAAGCAAAAACTTGAAAAGAATCCATCTAGATGGAAAGGAAATACTGCCATCACGGGAAGTGAAATATCTGGGAATAACCCTGGATAGTAAACTTCTCTGGAACAGGCATAATAAAGTAAACTTCTCTGGAAGACTGGCGGGAAATAGGTGGGGCTGCGCCCCTAACATTTTGCGCTGGATGTATACCATAATTGTAAGACTCATGATTACTTATGGAGCAGTTGCAAAGTACAGTGACTGGCATGTATCTGCATCACAGGTGCCATGAGAACATGTCCAACAGCAGCAATGGAGGTCATTCTAGACCTAACACCACTGCATATTGTCGTCGGTAGTTATGCCAATGCGACAATGATTAGAATGGTCATTGACGGAAACAGTACTGGGTTACTGGGAGAATTTTCAGGTCAGGGGCTTGGAACACCCTCAAAAAGAAAATTTCACTTCTCCAACTCCCAGTGGATGATATTCCAAAAATTTACAACTTTGAGAAACACCTCACTGTAGTATTGAGTAATAAAAAGGATTGGAAGAAAGAAACGCTTACTCAGCATATAAAAGACCATACCATCACGTGGTATACTGATGCTTCCAAAACCAAAGCAGGGACAGGGATAGGAGTATTTGGGCCGAAAACTAAATACTCCGAACCAATAGGCACCTACCCCAGTATCCTTCAGGCAGAAATTTACGCTATCGAAAGATGCGTACACTTTATTTTAGATGGGAACTATCGAAAACAGGAAATTGCTATCCTATCCGATAGTCAAGCAGCACTTAACGCGATCAACTCAGTAAGCATCAATTCGAAGTTGGTCAAAGAATGCCTAGAGAAGCTCAACAAATTAGGCAAAGAAAATAAAGTCCTCCTACTCTGGGTGCCTGCTCACCAAGGAATAGAAGGCAATGAAAAAGCAAATGATCTAGCTAGAAAAGGAGCGAATCCACTAACTGGACCAGAACCGTTCTATTTTCCAAATATATGGAATAGAATAGAATCCCAACATTGATCAGAAATTATTAGTGCTTTTTTCGTAATATATAATTTTTATGGAGGATATGTTTTGTTCGTTTAATTTTAACTTTTTAAAACCTAACAGAATATTTTTTTTATAAATCCTTATAATAGGTCTATTTTTATATTTTTTCGCATTTCTATTTATATCAGACAAAGCATCTACGCCCACAAAATATATATCATAAAAAAATGTCTGTAATTATCTACCTCCCTATTCTGGAGATGTCTGGAATAGAGTTCAAGAACTCCCTCGCAACAAAGCTTGAGACAAATTACTTTTTTTATAGTGCGTGGGATATGAAAGTACATTCGCAAATATTTGCCTGACAAACAGGTCTATCAAAGGTTTATGACCAGTTTCTTGCGTATCTTTGTGATGAGAAGAAATAATTTCAAGTGAAATAATCAAGTGCATGTTTGCCATAGGACCTAAAATTAATTTGAAAATCTATGCACTTTAAATGAAAAGAAATATATTTATACATATAATGTTACTTAAAAAATAAAGTAGCAGCGCATGAAATAAAATATAGAAATAAAAAATGATGATATTCACTCAAATAAAAGCAACTAAAATAACCTACCACTGAAATATTATTCGAAACAATATATTTTATATATAGAGATTATTTTTTATCGATTCTGTAACTTGAGTATCGATTAATATTTATTATTGTGTTTAATTTGAATAATTATTTTCTTTGAAAATATATTTTTTAACTAAAATATGGTTTAATCAGTTTTTTTAATTATAGCTATTATAGTAGGTATCATGGCACCATCTAGCAGCATGTCACTGCATTGACGTTGATTATAAAACAGAAATCTGCTTAGAAATCGTGAATTATTCACAGTTTTCGTTCAAGCCTCCGGCAAAAGATGGCAGTGACAAAAATCGATTTATCAATTTCTTCTTAAACAGTAGTTTTCACAATTTCATAAATTTTCTGCGAAAAAGTAACGCCATAGATTTTAAGAAATTCGGATTTAACGTTATTATAATGCAAAATATTTCCCACAAATTTGTAGATCATTTTGTGTAGGTAGCTGTTAATTAAAACGTCCGAAATTTTGATTTTTAAAACTTTTTAACTTTTTACCAATTTCCATACTTTTTAGAAATTTCCGACTTAAAAGCATTTTTCAACTCTAAATCAAGTTGTTGTCTTTAAATACGTCTCATGGAACACTTATGAGCAAAATAATGCTGTAATTTAACATTACAATAAGCTATTTAGTTTGCTCATTGAGAGGATTTTATTTTTTGACACATTTTGGATGTCGCCTATGGAACACAAGCGCACAAAAGGATTTTCACCAAAAGTATTTTAATATCTTGTTTCTGAAACATATTAACAAAAATGGCATTTGCACAGCAAACGATAAAAAAATTGGGGAAACACCATTGGGGGATTTCTTTTTTAAATTTCTTGCCTAATTAAAAAAATAGTCAACTTGAATTAGGCAAGCTGGATATTTTTAAATTAGGCAAGAAGTATTTTAAAAGAATGTTGGTTATGAAGCATTTCTTTAAAAATTTATGCCTAATTAAAAGAATAGCCAAGTTAACAATTTATTTACTTAGGAAATCTTAATTAGGCATTAGAAATATAATTAGAAAAAGCCATATTTAATTAGGCAAGTTGACAATTTTTTAATTAGGCCAAAAATGTATTAAAGAAATTGCATTTGATAAAAGGTGCAGGCAGAGTAATATTTACTTTTTTTAATTCGTCAACTTGAAGAGGTAAATTTAGGTAAAAAATGGAAAATTTTAAAGGTGAGCCCACGTTACACTCTAAGTTCGATCAAAAGTTATGGGTTAATGGTCAGCAAAGAAAAATCAAGTTGTATTTCTTACATTAATTTATTTTTAATTATAATCATACATCGATAACTTAAAAATATACCTGGGCTCTCACAGCAAACTTAAATACAATAATTAAAACATCCTACTTACATTAGGTTCGCCCAGGCGCTACGAAAAAAAATTGCAATATATGTTCTTCTTTTCTGCTTTGTTTCATTACTTTTCGCCTCACGAAAATTTGTTATAAATATATAGATTATCATTACAAAAGGGGATATTGAACACAATGGATCACGCGCTGGACAAAAAATGAACTCACACTAAAACAATTTTAAAAGATCGAGAATATATAAATATTAATTCTATTTAAAAAAAATAATTAAAAGTGTTGGAAACAATTGTCCAGTGCGCTTGCAAATGATATTAAATCTACAGGTTTTCAGACTATTTTTTTCTTCTGGTTGCATTGGAAAAATGACTTTGACACATTTTTATGTATTCTCCTAATTTGTACAAACTAAAAAAACATAAAAAAATAACAAATCGCATCAAAATCATTCGTTTTATTTTGAATCTTATAAATTACGAGAAGGTTAGATAAAATATACATAAAATCAAACTGTATCTGGAAGTATCAAGTGTTTTTTTTTGCATTGCTATAATTTTGTATTCGTTCCGCACAATTCATATATGAAAATAGTCTAAAATCTAAACACAAACCACATATATTTAATACACGCCTCGCGACCATCTCATGGCCGAATATTACATAGCTATCGTAAAACAGAGATAGAGAGAGATTAGAGGGAGACAGCGATCGTTTTCGGGGTTGAATTTATTTCGCTACAAAATAGATAAGTCGGTTTTTTTTCTGGTACTTTTTTTCAAAAAAATTCACCGTCTCTCCCCTCGATTCGTACATTTATTATTATATATAAATTATGTGTGTAACTGGCACTTATCTAAGGTTCTTTATTTACAAAAATAAGTCTAAGTTTCATTACAAAAACAAATAAAAAATCGCTTTGAAATCGGCCGTTCCTGCGATGTCGTTTTATCTTTGGGTTTACCCTGTATACTGTACATATTTATTATAATATTCCGAAAATGTTTAAATTTAGTATTTAAATATGTTTACGCTGAGTAAAAAACATTCTAAAATTGGGAAGTGGTCCGTATCTATTTTTCCCCAAAATTAAGTTGACTAAAAATTTATTAAAATAGTATATAAAATGTTTCATATAATTACTTATTTTATATAAAACATATTGCCATATCCTTTTTAACTGAAAGAAAAAACAATAACTTTATCAATACTATGTTAAAAATTTTAACTAAACTTAATTCTTTTCGAAAAATTATTAAAAAAGGCGTTAAAAAATAATATTAACGCTTGGATAAAGTATCAGTGTACTTAGAAAGTATACTTTCAAGAAAAGTACACATATATGAGTTTAAAATTGCACTAATAAGTATGAATAGATGTTTATAATAATTTGAATATTTCTCCTTATAAAGTATTTAAATATTTTTAAAATAAAAATTATAGCTAGAGACCACTTCTTAATTGACAACCTGTATATACTATACGATCGAAAAAAAAAACGACGTCAGAGTCGGCTTGGAAATGAAGATCCCCGTCATTTTATTGCAAAATTATATGGAAAATGTCATCGATTGTTATTTCCAAGCCGATTTAACTCCATTTTTTAAGATCATACGGTATAAATACAAAAAAAATAAAAAAAAGTTGGTTTAACTTGTTTTTGACGATGATGAAATTCATTAACAGTTTTTATCTTTAAAATACAAATCATCCAAAATATTTTAGCAATACAGAAAACCAAAAAGAGTTATTGCAAGTTTTTTTCAACTTTTTTTAAAATTTAAATTAAAAAATCTGTTGTTTTAAAAACCCTTTAATATGTCAATTATCACAGGAGAATTTATATAAACATAGAGACCTATACATAGGCATATTTTGTATGGTAAACCCTCAGACACTCAGAACATTTTATTTAAAAAAAAATTGCCTAATTACTAACAAAAAGAATTCTAAAGTCTAATAAACCCGTATTGACTATTAAGTATTAAAACCAAGATTCAAGTGGTATTTTGGTACGACATCGAAACAGCCAATTTCCAAGTAAAATAATGAAAAGTAAAGTGCCTTTGCCAAGTAATACAGCGGACATTCGAAAAAACATATCACACTTTAGCTTGTAACAATAAAGAAACATAATTAAAATCATTTTTGATAATAACAACAATTGGGCAAGTTGTATTTGGTTGATTTCAGCATTAAAAACAAACAAGGTTCTGTGAACTGAATATTTGTTTTTTGTATTTAATTTTTATATACTTTGTTCAGTTTTCATACTCTAGAGAAGGGCCAAACATAAAAAAATATAATAAACTTACTTTAGAAACACGGACAAATGATAGAAATAACGAAAATATACTAATTTAAAAACTGTACAGGCATTATATAAAACAAATACAAAAAATATATAATATTTTAGCTGCCAGGACACTAAGAACAGAAAAAAAAGGTCGACATAATCGCCTAAACAACTAAAACTAAAAACTAACAAAAATAAATGAATTTGTATTAACAAAAACTTTTGCACAGAGATTTGAGATTTTTTTCGTATCATAACTTCAAAATTACACAAGTTAGATAAAACATTCTTACGTAAAAATTAGAAGCCAAATTCTGAAATATTAGAATTTTTAGAAATATACCTACTTGTTAACCACAGGCTATAATTATGATGTTCTTAAAAAAATACAGGTTAATACAAAAGTATGTTGCATTGTTTATTTAGTACTAATTAGAACCATAGAATTTCTTAAACTTATATCAATTCTAACTGATCTAATTTTCACATAAACTAAACAAGTGACTAAAAAAATAATATATGCCCAACATCAGTGATGGGATGAGTACAATATATACCCAAAATTTAGCATTTGCATTTTTGTGTTTGCATCATTTGTGAATTTTTTGACATTTGTTTCTTTAATGTTGAATTTAGCAAAAAAATGTTGTAAATATTAATTAGAGTACCTTAAATTAACAAAGTAAGTATATACCCGGTGAAAAAAAATTCAATATACCGGGTGTTTGCCCATTACTGCTCAACATACTTAAAAACCTGTATTAAACTATGACTAAATAGTCTATATTACTACCAGTGATTATTTGAACAAAAAATTATATGATTAAAATTATTTTAACATGTTTGAAGTTATGAATCGAAAAAAAAACGTCCAAAATACTCTGTATGGTTAAAAGATTCTTGCGCAGGCACTTTACCCTTTGCGTACTTCTAATTTACCTCCATATTTTCCATGCATTTTCCTTGATTAATACTAAAAAATTATCAGATAAAGCTATAATCAGGAAGCCAATGTGCTTTAAAGTTTACAGAAGACTCGGAATTTCTCATCATCGTCGATATTTACACAAAAAATAACGTTTCACCTCCTCATCCTCATCGAAAATATGGCGAAAACTTTTTCCCTCTTCTTCATTTCCACGAGATCAATAGAAAAAATACACCATCGAAACGAGTCCAACGAGTCCAACGCACAACGATCCTATTTGTTCCTATATATTTCTAATCGTTCACATTCGAGATTCTTTCGGAATCCAACGAAACACTCGCAATAATCACACAGAGCGACAAATTTAGACTGTTCGGCCCCGTAGTTCGCGACGTAGTCGTGTTTATTGGTTTAGAAAAAAAAAATTGAGAAAAACGAGTGGCTTTCTAAAGGTATGAGAATTTATTTGGTTCGGTACAGTCTCTGGAGGCGCGAAGACACTGTTCTGTTCTCGAGATTGGCGTCGGAACAGAACGAATCCGCTGTAAAGTCTGCGGTGGAAAGTATGGGTGATGCGGAAGACGTCCGTTTCGGTTTGGAGTAACATTATCTTCGATCTCTGTACAAAAGGTAGGTTTGGAGCGCCTGGGGTAGTTGCAGGCCCATCACCTTATCTTCGAGACGGGCCTTGCCGATTTTCTGTCGTATCACGCGACGGCACAAGTCCATCAGTGGTAGTGGTTCGGCTGAAAATAAGAAAAAACGATGTTATAAAATTGTTACTCACATATACCTTCTTATTGACAATATTATAGGAATTAATAAAGAAAAAAAAATAAATAAAACAATGAAAAAAGAAACAAAAAAAGGAAAACAAGATAAAAGAGAAAACGAAAAACGAAAGTTTCATTACAAAAAAATGCTTAAAAATGAACAAGAAAGAGAATTTAATTAGTACAGAACAGTCTCTAAAGATGCGAAGACACTGTTTAAATTGTTACTCACATATATCCTCTTAGTGATACTATTACAAGAATTAATAAAGAAAATAAGAGAAAAAGAAGAAAAAAATAGCGAAACAATGAAAAAAAAACAAAAAGAGAAAACAAGATAAAACAAATCGAAAAACGAAAGCTTTATTACAAAAAAATGCTTCAACATGAATTAGGGAGAGAATTTATTTGTTTCAGAACAGTCTCTGAAGATGCGAAGACACTGTTCAAATTGTTACTCACATATATCCCCTTATTGATAATATTACAAGAATTAATAAAGAAAATAAGAGAAAAAGACGAAAAAATAAATAAAACAATGAAAAAGAAACATAAAGAGAAAACAAGATAAAACAGAAAACGAAAAACGAAAGACACTGTTCAAATTGTTACTCACATATATTCCCTTATTGATAATATTACAAGAATTAATATAGAAAAAAACAAATAAGAGAAAAAGGTAAAAAAATAAGGAAAAAAGAAAGAAAAACTGAGAACGAGAAATGAGAAACGAAACAAAAAAAAGAAAACAAGATAAACAGAAAACAAAAAAGAAAAAGTTTATTACAAAAAAATGCTCAAAATGAGCATAAGAGAGAATTTATTTGGTTCAGAACAGTCTCTGGAGATGCGAAGACACTCTTCAAATTGTTACTCATATATATTCCCTTATTGATAATATTACAATATAGAAAAAAAAATAAAGAAAACAAGAGAAAAAGGTAAGAAATAAAAAATAAAGAAAAAAAGAAAAGAAAAGAAAAAAAAAGAAAATTAGAACGCCACCCAATGATGAAGACCAAGCCTATATTATCTATTGATAATTGTCCATTCATAATTGAAAAAAATCAAATTCAATGTGAAAATTTTTATATATTTTTTTTTTATTTTTTTATATGTTTTGTATATTTTAATTATATTTCGAAGTAGTAAGACCACAGATGGTTTGAAAACGAGGAAGAATAATATTGAAAAGTAATATTATCTTGAAACACATCGCAACAAATTTTACATCCCAGAATGAAATTTGACGTTAAAGTCTATTTTAACAAGATAATTGAAGACCTACACAATTATGTTAACCCTTGGTAATATAATTTACTAGATTTTCTAAAGAAATAATCTAACAAAAGTAAATAGTTCTAAGCAGAAGAAACCGTTTCAGGTACTTTTAGTGAACATAGAATAGATAGTATAAATAAGATGATAAGTGAATCAGTTGATAACAGTGGATCAGTCTTTATGTTTTTTATTGATATTTTATGTTTGTTTAGAAGTCTTCTGTAGCGGCCAAATAATGGTAATTTAGGTGGAAAAAGTGTACACTAGAGAATAAACCATCTGGTTCAAAAGATGAAATGTATTCCGTGTAAAAAGCCTCTGTTTTTTCTTCAAGAAGATTCAAAACATATCTAGTCAATAATTAATCAATAAAATCTATCATATTTTTTTCTTTCACAAATACTTTTTTGTTTTCTAAATGGAGTTTTAAAATGATTTTGAGCCATATATCTCTAAGATTAAGCATAACAGCAACATACATAATAAGCATACAAGCAGACTAGAATTAAGAATCAACCACCTATTATTTGTATGAAAATGTTCTCATTTAATGTTAATCTCTGTATTTTAGAACTTTCTCATTTAACATTGGGTAGAACTGAATGTTGCCATCATTCAGTCAGAATAAAAATGTTATAATGAGGAATACATTTAAGATATACTTACGATCAAGTCCTCCAATATACCGCATCGTGATTTCACAATGTCCCCACACCGCACTCACGATCGGGTACAATTTCTTTCCCTTCAAGCCCCTGAAGGCTACTCCTAGGTACTGGCCGTCTACGACGAAGCTCAAAGTGCCTTCGTCCATGTCAAGGACCACCAAGAACTTGTCCGGTACGATGAAAGTCTCGTCTGGTTTGAGTAACGCGGGGTAGAGTACTCCCGGTTGGTTCTTCGAGTCGTGGTAGAGCTTGTTCCTTCCCAGATCCCAGCCCCACGAGTTGTCCGTGCTGCCGACTAGACTTTGGTATCCTACGGAATGGAGGGGAGCTTCCGCCGTTGCCACGCCGACCACCGCGTGCGTGCCACGTTGCCGCGTCGACCAACACACCTCCCAGCAGTGCATGCCCTAAAGAAAGAAGAAAAAATTAATACTATTTGAGATGTATAATAGCTTCAATCATATACCAAGTTGGGGAGTGTTTCGTTACTGTCGAGAGATTAATTCTCGAGGCAGTGATCAAATTTTTCCCTCAGGGTTTGTATACTATATTTTACTATAATTAAAATACGCCATTAATAAAAAAAGTAGGTACATAAAATATTATATTAATTTTTGTCAGTGTCGAATATCTAGTTCGTTAGTTCGAATTTTTGTACCCAAGAACGCCAAAATGTTGTCAGAAAGTGATGATAATAATGACTTTCAACAATGGTGCCTTAGCAGAGCTTAAAGAAGCTGCCAGAGCAATGAGTGAAGAAATAGAGCTATATAAATGGAAGAGATAGGTAATGCGTTCTTCAATAGAAACAATGGTATACATGTTAGTATCATGTCTATACAGGGTGGCCCATCGAAAACGTTCCGCAAGGCATAACGGCTAGGGTATTCTTTTTTTCAAAAAATCCAAAAACACGTCAATTTTGTTTGTGAGGGGGACAACTTTTGCCCCAAAAACGATTGCAAAATCTTCAACCCTCTGAGTGGGGGTATCATCCTTCAACTTTTTTCAAATGGAAAGGGGGGTCAAGTCGTACCGCAATGAAAAGGGCTTTCTATTGTCTATACTTTCCGACTTCGTTTTTGAAAATCGGTCGAGTCATACAGAAAATATGAAGGATTGAAATTTGAAAAGTTTATTTAAACATTTATCAGAGTAAATGATAAGGGTAGATTTCTTCGACCAATTTGCTGTTTTTTCTTATTATTTCTAGATGTTTACGCATTTTTTCACTTGCCACAAGGTTGAACGATCAGGTGCGGTAGTTGCTAGATAGCTGTTCTGTGACTTATGCGTTGAAGTTCTTCTCAATATCGTTAAACTTTTTAACAATTATTATGGAACAATTATTATTATCGAACTTTATTTTAAAAATAAGGAATGTGGCAATTGGGTTGCGCAGATATTCAATGAACGCCATCCTGACAAACACCTTTATGGCAAAATTGTTCGCGAGTTAGTAGCAAAATTTCGCGAAACTGGTTCCGTTATGAATAAAAAGAGGCAGAAGGAAAATCCTGTAGTAAATGAAGCTATGGAGGTATTTGTATTGGGCCAAGTTGCCATGGATAGTACGCTGAGTACAAGAAAATTAGCCAATAAGACCGGCGAGAATCGTACAAGTGTCCAAAGGATATTAAAAAAACGCAAATTTCACCCGTACAAAATTCAGTTGGTACAAGAACTCAACGAAGACAATTTTGATCGTCGCTTGCAATTTTGTGAAATTATGAGTGAACGAGTGGCAAATGATAATAATTTCCTATTTAATGTGTGTTTTTCGGACGAGTGTACTTTCTTTTTGAACGATGTAGTTAATCGGCACAACTGTCGGTACTGGGCTAAGGACAACCCCAGGGTTTTTCACGAGGTGCACACACAAAACCCTCAGAAATTGAATGTGTGGACTGGTATTTTTGGAAATTCTATTGTAGGTCCGTTTAACGATATTAAGAAGAACTTCAACGCACAGTTGTCACAGTTCAAAGTTACAGAACAGCTATCTAGCAACTACCGCACTTGATCATTCAACCTTGTGGCAAGTGAAAAAATGCGTAAACATCTAGAAATAAGAAAAAATCTCAAATTGGTCGAAGGAAATTGGTTGAAGGAAATATATTATATTTATTCTCTATGAATAAAAAATAAACTAAATAATAATAATAATCATATTATAGATTGACTCCGAATGGCCCTGCCTCATCAAAAAGAAGTAAAAGATTTAAGCTATTGGTTTCCGGAAAAATAAACTCCAATTTGCCCAAAAGCTGGTCGACAGCACGATCTAAACAACGATGTTTACTCAACAATTACTGTCAACACGATACCAAGGGACAGTCAACAAATATCTTGGGTGTGATAAGGCCCGATGTTGTCCTATATCCATTAACTTATTGCTAGTTAACTTGATACATTCTGGCAACATGTTTGTGATACAGTAATGTCAACATGTTGCCCTGCCTGACCTGCATGTGCTTAGCTTTAGAATTAGGTAAGTTAACCACTAGAATCTACTTGGATAAATACGAACAGATACAATAGAAAAGAGCGTTTTATAATTTTAACTTTGTTTCGTATTTTGGAAAAAAAATGTCGAGAGTACGACTAAGTTATATTCTTAGTTACGCTGTATCTTTCTCTTTATTTAATTTAAGGTTATATCCAAAACTACTTGCCTTTGTAAATCCAACTTTTCCCCTTATACAATCCGTGCTCTGTGCGACGGGGTGTCTGTGAAACGTCAGTTTGTCGTCTTCTTTAACGAATATGTTGAGAGAGCGGTCATCTTGGTTCCAACTGTATTTGAGTTGCGTCTCGCGTAACGCTGGTGGCATGTCCAATAACATGTCCAGTCTGGGTGGTCTGGCAAAATCTTGTGCTAGTTCCCTAGAATAAGATGACTGATGTAGTTAGGGTACGTTAAAATCCTACTTTTGCAATAATTGTATCTTCTGTGTATTGTAAAGGGCGACTCTTAAATAGGTTCAAATATTTTTAGAGGTGGTATATTCCGACTCCTAAAACACGACTATGAGGTTTTATAGTGAAAAATTGCATTGGTGTTTTTCGATTTTTTTTGGAATATTAGATGATATTTTCAGTTAAAAACAGAATATTTTGGTAATATGGCAACGTATAGACGTATTATAGAATAAATTTAGGAGAATGGAAAAGCACAGAAGAAATATATAAATCCAGTTGTTAATTTTCAAAGTAAAATATATCGGCAATTTTGGATTTTGTCAACTACAATTTTTTTGACCTAGTAATAAGACATCTGACATTACACACTTCTGATCTGAATTTTAAACTTTTTATGAAAACGTAAAATCCATAAATTTTATATAATGAAAACCCTATTAAAAAATCAATAGCCTCCTATTTTTTTACACTTTGTATTGTATCACACTCATCACGAAGTTTCTAAGACGCTCGATCGTCACAAATCTTGCCATGATTACTCCCTACTCCGATCAACATACACGAAGAACTGATTTTGATCAAATTATAATACAATACATATATGTTCTCCGAGATATATCAGCTATCAGATAGCAATTATTATAAAAACTAAACTCAATAGTAAAAACATTTATATAGTTTGCTCCTAAATATACCGGGCGTTTCTCAAAAGTGGCTTACCTCTATAACTTATATTTTCTCAGATAAATAAATTAGATTTGGTTCGTTAGTAATATGACATAAATCAGGATTGATATTGATGTATTAAATTGTTTTCGGTCACTTCCTGTTCCACCGGAAATGACTACAAGTTTTGATTTTTAAATGACATTCTCGATATTTTTACTTTATTCGATAGAAAATGACACTCCGGATAGAATGATATATCATATGTCAATTTTTGACATTCTCGCTTTAAAAAAGATCGTGTTTTAAATTTCAATCTAGCGTAGCATGGCTGTGTTAAAAACACTAATTTTTAATCAAAGAATCTTGTAAAAATATATTTGATCGTCTAATGTTTTTCGTGTTTTGTTATGGCCGGTTAAAAGATGCCCAAATCGTATTTCAATAACTCAATTTTTTCAAATGGAACGAGGGTGGCTCATTATATTTGGAAAAAGCATTTTTTTAATAATTTGGTCAAATTGTAGTTACACTTATGGCCATGGCGCTCTAATTTGAAATTTAAAATGCTGTTTTAACTGAAAACGTCAGTAGTTGGCATATGATATATCATTCTGTTCAGAATGTCATTTTCTATCAAATCAAGTAAAAAAGTGTGTCATTTAAAAATCAAAAGTTGTAGAAGTTTCCGGTGAAACAGGAAGTGACCGAAAAGAATTGAATACGTCTATGAATTCCTAATTTATGTCATCTCATACTAACATACCAAATCTAGTTTAGCAACAAATTTTTATCTGAAGAAATAAAAACTATAGAAGTGAGCCACTTAGTAAGCATAATTTACCTAAAACTAATAAATTACTTAACCGAAAACAACCAAAACGGAAATAAAAAGTTAGGATAAGATCGAGTTTACAGAGTGTCGGACTTAAAAAAACCGGACTAAAAAAAATAATAAACATTATTATGTAGTTTTATAACTCTAAACTTGGCCATAGATAAAAGAAACAAGTTTAGATTGGAAAGTGCCCACAAAGAAAATATAAATACTCTTTGGCGCTATTGTTACAACGGTCGCTCTACAAATCTTTTGATAATTTCGGAGCTGTTCGGCTTTTTCCGGAATTATGTCGCCAAATATTATTTATTCAAATTTGTTATTATTCTCTTTTAATTTTTTAAATAAAATACAGTGTGTTGCAGATAAGGAACTTTATTTTATATAAGGACATGTAAGAAATACCTATGAAACATTGGAAAGCGACGTTATGCCACAATCCACGATGGTTTTTGCACAGTTTCTTAAGTTTTTAATGCCACTTTTTCACAATTATCACGGGTTTGAGTAAATAAAATTTAAATTAGACTTACAAGATAGCAATAATTACCTTGAAAATGAACGCTTTAAAAACTTTTCGGTATTTTTTAAATGAGGACGGTTTAAATTTGTTGTTTAAGATTTTATAATTTTTGAAGATTCTGACTTTGACAAGAGAAAATTATTTCTGTTCTTGTTTGCGATTTTTCTTAGCAACCGCAGCTTAAGTTTTGATGGCAAGCCGAGCATTCCAGTCTAAACTTGTTTCCTTTATCTATGAACTTGAGATACGTAAATGTCAAAATAGCTTCTGCGCTAATAGCGAAATTGTGGCTAAATATATCAGACTACGCAATATCTTCTTAATAATTAATAATGGTAATATCTTACCTGGGAATCACTGGTTTGTAGGGGGCGGCCGCGGCGTCCCTGCCGTTGCCCGCCTTAACTCCGCCGCTGACCTTCTGGCCCATGCTCATGCCACGCGCGACCCTCCTTCCGCGCGCCCCCGCCTTGGCGGCCGCGCCGCACCCCGGCACCACCGACGCCTTGTAGGCGCGGCGCACGTCTGCGGCGCCCCGGACCGCGCCACCGGGGGCCTGTTGCCCGCCCCCCGCGCTGCACCCCACGCTACGCACGCCACTGGTCCTTATGCTGTGCTTGAACCTGAAACCAAAAAGGGAAACCGTTAATATAACTCATTTTTGGACCTATTATTATTTATTAGCAGCATATTTATTAATCTATAAATTGGAGATGATCAACAATTGAAATAGTTGGAAACAGGGTGCAATGATTAAAATCAACTTGATTTAAATCAACGAAATTTTTTAAAAATCATGATTTTTTAAAATTTTTAAAATCAAAATTTTATAAATAATAATAATAATAGAAAAGAAAATTATATAAATAAAACAATAAATAATGCTGAAGAAAAATAAGAGAAAAAGAAACTAAGAATAGTTTAAGATTATTAACTTATAAAAGTTAAATAATATACCAGGTATATTATTCATTCTCATTGCTCATTCATATTCTCACTTCAACGAAAATCTATGAATAATTTTTATCCATAATCACCCGGGAATTTTATAACTACAAATTCCATATTTTTATTCCACTTATTTGTAGTTCTTGCAATCGGCACCTTACATCTCATATCCTTTCTCTTCCTACGAATCCAACTAACCACGTCATTGATTATGACATGACCGTTCACTATATCTTAGAATTCTTTTTTTTTTCTCAAAGTACGTATCAATCGTTCTCATAAGACGCTTTTAATATGAATCACTTGTTAATAGTAAATATTTAAATGATAAATTAAGTTAATTGTTCACATATCCGTTTAAATAATGTGAAATATTTTGCTATTGTTTTGTTTTGAACCTCGTATGTAATGTTTTGCATTACTATTTTTTTAATAATTTTATTATCTAGCTTTAGTTCCCTCTTGCATTTCCTTCACTGTTTTTTCTACATTTTCTTCAAGTTCAAGTGTTAAAATAGTCTTCATTATCATCACTTTTATTCAACATTCGGCTTTCGTTGTTGAAATTTGAAGGAACGAACAAGAAATTCAAAATCGTCAAAAGTTATTTACTAGTTTTGAAATTTAGCCCGTCAAAAAAAAATTACAAATTTTTGGCATTTTAAATCAATTCATTTTCAAAAAAAATATATTGTACCTATTTTTTTATCAATGGTTATGATTATAAATAAAATAGTATACAAATCTTGGAGGAAACCTTTAAATTGACGCATTTTTTAACTTATGTGTTTGATGTAATATGTAATTAAATTATTCTGCTTTAGAGAGTCGAATTTTACCAGACCAGCATTGCTAGATACCTATATAAAGAAATATATCGTTCCAAATATCAATGCACAGCAAAATGGGCAGGTATCAGCTAATATACTAACATAATCTCTAATATTTCAGAGTCACAGGCAGTTTGGTATAACACAAGACATCTCTACATTTCATATGAAAGGAACATCAGAAAAGATCAGACGAATAGCTAAGAAGTATAAAATTAAAAGTATTTTTAAGTCTTGAACTACTCTAAGAAGTGTTTTAACAAAATCAAAACTGGAAGCATCAAAACAAGAGAAAGCGTGCATCTACCAGTTATCTTGTAAAGGTTGTGAGTCGTATATTGAACAGTCAAAACGTCCTCTAAATGCACGAATAACTAACATAAAAAAAAATATACGCAAAGGGATGAAACAATGAAGTCATATATTGCAGAGTATGTGTGCTCGAAGCACCAAAACATAAAATAGACGGAAGCCCGTGTTGTCCACAAGGAGCTACGCTGGAAAAGACCGAAAATTTAAAGAAGTTGTATTCATATCTAGCAAAATAGCCTCTTAAGCACAATCCATGCATTAAAATTTCCACAATATGGCAACCGATTATAAAACGTACCAATGCAAGATATTCTCAGTGGCTTGACCATACAACTTTTTCACAGGTAAATACTCTGCTCTAATACTAAGGGCTGGCAAAGGTTAGTCTTGGGTCGAGATTTCCGTATGTAAGAAGAGTACAATGCGTTTATAATGTACTGAACAAAGAGAGGACAGTAAACACGTTGCCAAATGAATGAAATAAACCGAGAAACTGTGCACATCGCTAAGAGACGTGGAAGGGGATATAGCAGATTTGTCGCAGTTGAGTCGTTGTAATTTTCCCTACAGCTTGAATTTTTTTTAAGTGCAAGCTAGAAACACTTGCATTTTTGGTAAAAATAAGTGGAATTGTGGGTGGTCGATAGTGGTCGCGCTATTAGAACTCTGAATTCAAAAATCGATATCTCGAAATCTATTAGAAATAATAGATTGTAGTTTTTTCAAGAACTTTGTTAATATTTCTCCTGTATTTTCTTTGTAGACAGTATGTGAAAATCTTCATCAATAAAAAAATTACACGATAGCTGAAAATTGCTATGCTCTAAAAGTAAATGGATGTATTGTTTACAATTTTTGAATGGAAAAAACAACCTTATCGAATTTTTCTTATGTAAACATATCGTAAAATATCCGATCTTGGAAATAAAAAAAAATTTCAATATCGAAAGTGGTTCTTGAGTTTTTAAATTATCGCGATTACTGACGTTTTCTCGTTATAAAAGAAATGACACCCTAACGATATCGTTATAATTCTATTTCAGATGCTCAGAAACATGTCTAATGATTTTATCTAGTTATCTCTTGAAAAAAAAAAGTTTTAAAAATAAGCGGTTTGCGATCGTGATTTTACTTTACTTGATAGGGAAAGGCGTATCGGCAACGCCGCAACAGCACACCGTCGCGCGTCGCGTCGGTCGGTCGCATTTCTCTCACTCCGACTTAATAAGATCCCTATGCGATTTACTTCCACACATGTAAATGCCGACCCAAAAGTAACAGTTGCCAGCACGGTATATAACCTCAATAGTTCCAAGATTAACAAATTAGTTCACACTTGATAATCGAAACGTTGATTAAGCAAAAATTAATAAAGACTAAATCATTGTCTAGCAAATTCCAAGACATCTCTATGCTTCGATATTGTATAGTAACTCTTGCTTATGATGCAAATAGAAGAAACCGAAATAAGTGAAAGGATTTTTGTTGAGATCCAGTTCGTCGGACTCTCACTTGAGCGGCGAAGAGGCCGACAATAACAACATACAGACGCAAGAGCAAGAGGCAGTCGTCGACTCCAGTCAAGGTCGCGGTCAATCCACATCATATCGCCGTATCTGCATATTTCCATCTCCTCTCCGACCGATTATGTGTGTTCGTGTCTTAAAGGATGCTCCACACGTGAAGATTTTTCGATGGGAATGTCGGAAATTCGATGACCAGCATGTTGGTCATATAATTATATCGATAAGAATTTACGAGTGTCCTGGAACCTACAGTAATAAGTTTTGTCTGTGTAATATTTTCTTTAATAAGATATGCTGTATCTTTTCTATATTTTATCTCAAGCTTGGAACATCAAACAAAATTGGCATGGAAAACAGAAAGTTGGCTAGAAATGGAGCATAAAAGTTAGTGGAGAGTACTTCCTGAACCATGTTACTCAAAGAAGATACACATTGATCAATCGATCATTCATAGCTTAGAAGGTATAGTAGGACTAGTCACAGTACACGCAACTTTCTAACTTTCTAAAAATTCTCACTAAACTGGTGCTAAAGAAACAACCAAATGGCCGAAATTCTTAAAGTTTCAATACCGAATCATTATCTTCCACAATCAAGAGTATATATTATCTACTGTCTTCTGCCTTTGTGGACTTTTAAAGGAACATATTTTTATAAAACACATTTTCTATGCAAACAAAATATTCTATCAGCATTCATTAAATAGAAATCGTTTCATAGGTTGACAGATAAATACCCTATTAAAATCAAATTTAATTGATTATACCATTGCATAATATTTACTATTTGATTTTATTTAGCTTTATATCATATTAGACAATAGCTATAATTACGATTACTAAACCTATTGTATGCAATAATTGATCAAAATGTTTAGACATGTGTCAGAGAAATAAACATACAGGCATAAAACTGGTTGTACGTTAAATATTCGTGTGTAGAGACCTTTATATTTCACTAAGGTCGTCATTAATGTTGTGTGTAATCTAAGTGAATGTATTGAGATTATTTATTCAATAAAAACACGGGCATTGTTTGGTCATCGTTTTTTAGTATCTTTTTCTTAGTTCAACCTTATTACAGATACTTTGAAATGAATTACGGGAAAATCTTATTGTTTATATGCTGTATATAACACTAGTACTTTGAGTACATTAAGATATTAAATACTCAAAAGGAAGATGAGATGGTTAACAACATAACCCTTCTGCGGCGTTGCCAATGCAGTCAGAAGAATTGCCACAAGTAACGTAAGAATACATTCCAAAATTAATTATCAAAACTAAAGATTCCTAATAAATAATTCAAATTTGATTAAGAATTTACGTATACCAAATTAAAAACTATCTGGAAGACCTTGTACTTTACCGTATACAAATATTACAATTCATAACAGACTACGTTTTACAGTTTTTTTCTCGATTATCGTTATCGTGTATTTCCCCTTGTTTTTCATTGTTTTTCCTGTTCAATTCTTATTCAAGGCCCGACCCCTGTCGAAGTTTTTCGACTTATCAAATGTTCATTTGCAAACATGTGTTGTCTGGCTGTCGTTTGGCGCATATTTAAGTGATTTCCTGCTATTATTGTACGTATTCTACCGTCTTGCGCGTTAGAACGGTTTCCTTTGGGTAATAGCGACTTTCGACGGTTTATTTATAGGCCCATTGTTAGATAGTTATGGATAAAATATTCATTAGTTTTTTAATTAATAATTATGTAGTGTTTTTTACTAGACAAATTAATATTAGTTCTCTGTTATTGAAACGTAAAAAACGTTAAATTAGCTACTACTCTAACAAGAAAATAGAACCACAGCCTATTTATACTCAGCCTGCCGATTTATGATTCATCATCATCATCATTTTCAGATGATTCAACCATTTCCAGTTATGGGGAAACTTCCCTCACATGTTTAGATACTCCTTTGTAATTGGGCTCATTGTTGTCTATGCGGGTCCAAGTTATCCCTGCTAATTTCCTAATATCAGGTTTGGTCTTCATCTA